AATAGAATTTGCAGCAATATTCACCTTCAAACCAGAGATATATACCCCACAGTACTTTTTGTCATGAGATGTTCTCAGTCGGATGCCCAGCATCTTTCAACCCACTTCCTGTAAACTGAGGTCATCCTGGACCTGCCCCCCGGATTGTTTCTGCGCAGGGAAAAGAGAAGCAGCATAGTGATCAGCTCATTTTTCTGTCACTCTGCTCCCTCCTCCTATCAGCATGCTTCTTGTCAGCACATTCATCGATTATCTCGTTGTACTGCTTCTTACACTCCAGCCATGCTGTACAGGGCCTGTCAGGGACTAATATCAGGTGAGCATGAAGTACCTACACTGCTTGTACTTAAAAAAATCTTACTTTTACCGATGTATTAATGAGTACAGAGCAGCATTAATTTGTGTTAACTGTAATCAGTTCATATATTATAAGGCCTTAAAAAAGACCAATACTGTACATCCCCAATCCCATCTCTAGATATCCCTCTCCACTTAGCTCGGCTGCAGAAACCATTGCTATTGTCATGTGACCAAATGCCTAGGCTCCTCTGCTGAAGGGGAGGAGCAACTGGTCTGAAATTTGATTCTCCCTATCAGTACTCCTCACCTGATCAAATTCCTAGGCAGGGTGTCATGTGATCAGTTGCCTTGGATCGTAAAGCAGACGTTTGAGCAGCCAGAGCATGTCAGGACTTTTGTTTCCTTTTCTGACTGCGGACTGTATTTGATGACAGGTCTTAGACATAACATAGGAGGTGCAAGCACAATTCAACCTTCGAATGATCATTTTTAACCAATTAGCACATGAATAGTCACGCTCCTGTTTCCTGAGCAGGTGGGCAAAGGGGTTGCGGACATTCCAAGCATCTATCTTATATAGCAGGAGTAATCACCTGGCGAAATACAACCTCGTCCTACTATATCTCTGAAAATTCCTGTCTGACAGCGTCTCCTGATAGCCAGCCATATCAGGTGATGATTATGTTATGGCTTTAGGTATTCTGAGATGTAAAAGAGTCTACTTTCATACATTATAGTGACACTAAAAATAATTATTCTCCAAAAAAATGATCCAAACACATAGGGATTGACTTACTAAAGGCAGATAGGCTGTTTACTTTGCAAGGGAATTTTCCCCACAGCCCACTGGATATGGTTAAATTTCGCTTTGTAAAGAATACCCAATCAAATGCAAGGAGAAATTATTTTTTTGCTTGCACATGATTGGATGATAGAAGTTTGGCAGAGCTCCATCTCATTTATGAAGCTCTGGGGAAAATTACCTTACAAAGTGCAACTTCCCTTGCAAAGTTAACAGTCTATTTGCCTTTAGCAAATTAACTCAAATCACTACTTAATAGTCCTGTAATCTATTTTTCATTAAATAGTTAGTGTGTTTTTTCTGCCTCCTTGATACCTACTCCATGAGCACCCAAACCTCTCCTTTTCCGCCCTACAATCTGCTTGTTTGGAATGAGCTGCTTGTTGCGGTTTATAACAAGTTGACTATGAGTTAGTCTTAGCGAGAGCGAGCACAAAAGGGTGGCTACCCCTAACAAGCCATTGACGTAACCCAGCCCCCCATTTGTTTGATGAGCTGTGCACCTTAGTTGTGGTCATAACAAGTTGACCTAGTCCCACAGTCTCAGTCCCGAGAGCGAGCACAAAAGGGTGGCTACACCCCTACATACAGTGGGGCCATAGAGGATGAACGTAACCCAGCCCCCCCCCCCCCTATTTGTTTGGAATGAGCTGTGCACCTTAGTTGCGGTCATAACAAGTTGACCATGAGTCCCATAGTCTCTAGTCCATCCCAAGAGCGAGCACGAAAGGGTGGCTACACCCCTACATACAGTGGGGCCATGGAGGATGAACGACTCCTAGATTGTAAGCTCCAAGGAGCAGGGCCCTCCTATCCCTCTTGTATTGAACTGTATTGTTGCTGTATTGTCTCCCGTTATATTATAAAATAATATATTATATAAATTATATATTATTATTATAAATAATAATAATAACGTAACCAAGCCACCCCCTATTTGTTTGAAATGAGTAGTGCATATCAGTTACGTTTGTGTGCACTGCTCTGTGCACACTACAAATTCCATAGTCCCTAGTCCATCTCAAGAGCGAGCAAGAGAGGGTGGCTACGCTCCTACATATATTGGGGCCATGGAGTATGAATGTAGCCACCCTATAACAGGACGTCAGATCACAACAGCAAGAAAAAAAAAAGGAATTCAGGGGTTTGGAGGAGGCTGAGAGCAATAAACGGCACTTTTTTGAGTTAAGAATATACTTGAATAGAATTTCTTTTCGTGTCACTTTTCTTCTTCTATCTCATTAAACCCGTCCACAATTTTGATTATACCATAAATTGGCCAAGCACATATCAATTTGATCGTGTGATAAAAAGATGAAGTATTCTGGTTAAATCCAGTAATCCTCTATCAATTTTACTATCATTTTGGTCTCTTCAGATTTTGTGGGACAGAAGATGACATCTATGGGTAAGGTCGGGGAAAAAAGTCAAAAGTGTGGTGCATGGAGCAGTCCATCATCCCTAAAGCAACCACTATAATTTTTTTACCTTATCCATCCAACCTTTGACCAGATCAATGCAGGCTAACTTGGAGCTGCATCAGACAAACACTTCAGGTAATCTGATTGATTAGAGCGCTCTCATTAAGCAGTCAATTGCATGAAAAATCAGTACGTGTATTGCTGAATTGTTATGTGATTATATTGAAACCTATTAAGGGTTGATTTACTAAAACAACAAACACGGTTCCCCTAGCAATGTAAATATTCACTAAAGCAGGCCATAGACAGGTCTAAAACAGAAGGAATATTATTGTCGGTTTTCTGATCGTTCAATTTCCGCATCATTAGCGTGCCAGCTGCGGCACGCGATTTTCGTGTCACAATCGAAAGTGCCTGATCCAACGTGCTGGAATTTTTTTTAGAAAAACAAAACAAATGATGGCACAATCGTATGCACCATTTTCATTTTTCGGCAGAACGTTCGGTTTTCGACCGCCTTAGCTTAGTGAACAAGATGAATCTGTGTTTACTTCAATTATCCAATCATGTGCAAGCAAAAAACCTGTTTTTCTTTTAAATTTCCCTTGCATGTGATGAGTCACTAAGTGAATAGTCGTTATTACTTTACTAATTCAACCCAATAAATAAAATATTAATATATTGCAATAAACTCCACCACTTGCATTTCTCTGACTGGTAAGTGATTCAGTTTTGCAAACCACCAATCAGGGGCGGACTGACAACTCATGGGGCCCCCAGGCAATAGGGGATCATGGGGCCCCTGTGTAATTGCCCACACTCAAAGCACACCCAAAAAGCCTATAAAAAGGTACCAGGTGCATTTCATGGGGCCCCTAACTGACCCTGGGCCCTTGGACAGTGCCCGAGTGCTCGAATGGTCAGTCCACCCCTGCCACCAATATATGTACTGCAGTATATTTGTGTGTATATATATATATTTATTTGTATGGGTATATATCAAAAACATTTTCTAGTAAGTTACTGTATTCTTTACTAAAACAGTTAAAACTTCATGTGCTGCAACTCAGCCAGACCAATCAGAAATCAGTTTTAAATGACTATGTCAAATGTCTGGATTGGTTAGAACTAGGTAGGGCCTAGGTAATGTTGGGTGTCTACCTACAAACTTGTATACAGAAAACAAGAGAGAGGCATAAAGCGAATAGATGTTACTGGTGTAACGGATATTTGAGCAGAGGTGGAAAATAGCGGCATCGTGAGTCATGTGACTTATTTGGAAAGCGACCCCTGATGGTATTCATAACGGTCAAGGAGAAAATATCTGGATATTAGGATCACAAAGCTTAATTTATCGGAATTGGAAAAATAAAATATCCTTTCTTACACATTTTAACCTGAGATTTTTTTTTTCTCTTTTTAAAACCATGGGTGTTACAGATACTTCCTTTCCTCCCAGTTCTCATATATTAGGCTGACTCTATAATACAGCTATACAAATCCTATTAGCAGTCACCTTAATATCTCATAACCAGTTCTTTGTATCCATAGTGTGATAAACTATTAAAGTAAACTTCTATATAAGCTCCTCCATCTATCTAGCCAAGAATGTCCAGTGGAACAAAGAAGAAAGCATCAAAGACTTTCTTGGTTGTTCATAACAAAAATATTTTTTTTTTAAATTTTTTAATTTGAAAATTAAGAAAAAAAAAATCAACATATATTTAAAAACAGATCAATACATATTCCGATCAAGGGCTAGACGGTGTATTGTAGGCCCCTGATGGTTTTCAATGTCTTTAGGTTATCTTCAGCACATAAGGGGTTACATGTCCCTTTCTTTGCTTGTCCCACACATAAAAAGTTTTTTTTTTAACAAGTATCAAATCTGTACCATGTTCCCTTGTACAAGAATGTCATTTCTGGTGTCCAGCCAACTCCTGTCATCTAGAAACGATTATATGCATCTGTCCTTTTTAAATCATGCTTTACAAACGAAAAAAGGGAATTTATAATTAAAACTCAAAATAAAACCCAACCCCCTCCCCCCCTCCAAAAAAAAATAATCCAATTGTACCAATTGACACCATAGCAGCAGCGGTACCACCTGTCATAAGATGCCAAGATTCCACATTACCCTCACAGATTCTGCAAAGTTTATGTTGGCTAATATTCTAAGGGACACTTGTACAAATTCCATTGTTCATTTGAGAGGACAAATAAAAATTGGGAATAAAAATACTGTAAATAGGGTTTCCAGAAAGAGCCAAAATAGACTGTATTCTAAACAACTCCAATTATCCATGAGATATAGTCAGCAAACAAAAGGAGTAGATAGGAGGTCTCTTTTCCATGTACATTTTCCATTCCTCCAGTTCCTTAATCCGCATATTTTAAATAGAAATATATAATTTACAAAAATCCTATTTACAGTCTTAATTACAACTCCAGAGAGATGTGCCTGAAGGTATCGTACGTCAATTTACCCAGATAGCAACAAGTGACAGGAAACTGGAAAGTTTTGAGAAGGTACAGTCTAGGTGGTCATGGGTACCACCAAGAGTTCTCACACAGTTGTCTCTCCATGCTTGCTGTTGGTAAGCCTGGTGTAAAATTTCCTCCAAGAATGAAGAGTTTTTGCCTGACCAGATCCAGAATCCAGAGGTGATGCCGACAATAAGGGTCATGAGATACTTGATCATGTAGACAGTAAAGTCGGGGTCATGCGTGGTGTGTACTGTAGAGGGCAAGGAATAGCTAGGCTCTTGCAGTTTTGACTCACCCAGCTACGCTCCCAGTGTTCTCTGAAGGCCTGTTCATAGAAGTAACAGGCAATGACGATTGTGGCAGGCACAGTGTACAGGACACTGAAGACTCCAATTCGAACCATCAGCCGCTCCAGTTTCTCGGTTTTTTTCGTTCCATCGTGTTTCATGATGGTCCTGATGCGGAAGAGGGACACGAACCCAGCAAGAAGAAATGAGGTTCCAATGAAGAGGTAGACAAAGAGAGGCGCCAGCACAAAGCCCCTCAATGGATCAATGCTATTAAGTCCTACAAAGCAGACTCCACTGAGTAGGTCTCCATCGATCTGCCCCATGGCCAGAATGGTAATGGTCTTCACAGCAGGCACTGCCCAGGCTGCAAGGTGGAAATATTGAGAATTTGCTTCAATTGCTTCATGCCCCCACTTCATGCCAGCTGCTAGGAACCAGGTTAAAGACAAGATGACCCACCAGATGGAGCTAGCCATGCTGAAGAAGTAAAGCATCATGAAGAGTATAGTGCACCCTTCTTTCTTGGTTCCTTGTACAACAGTTTTATAGCCATCCTCTGAGAAGCCTTCATTGCAAACCACTTTATCCCCCAGCACAAATCCAGCAATGTAGGCCACAGATACCATGGTGTAGCATCCAGACAGGAATATGATGGGCCTTTCAGGATAGCGGAACCTTTGCATGTCTACTAAGTAGGTGGTTACTGTAAAGAAAGTTGAAGCGCAGCAGAGTACGGACCAGATAAGAATCCATACACGAGCAAAACGGATCTCCTCTTGACTAAAGAACATGAACCCATCGCTTTTGGAAGGTTCGCATGGCGCAGCACAGTCCTTTTCTCCTAAGAACCTGTAGTTCAGGTAGGTTGGTACCTTCAGCACCCGTGGGCAGTGGAAAGGATGATCAGGTGTGGCATAGATGGCTGGCCCTGGGGTGCCATGCAAAGGTGGGCTAGTTGTCAGCAAGGTTGGACCGCCATCTTCAGAGTGGTTCTGTCCAACACATATCTGCTCAGCGCCATGACGAGGAAAGTTCTCACATCTAAGCCTCTCTGGCCACTGGAAGCCAAATTTGTTCATGAGGGCTTCGCAGCCATGCCTAGCCCGTTCGCAGATCGATCGGCAGGGTGGGATGGCCTGCTCCAGAACCGTGCAAACTGGGGCGTACATCGAGCACAGAAAGAACCGCAGCTCCGAGGAACACTGGACCTTCACTAATGGGTAGAACTGATGGACCTCCAGGCCGGCGTCCTCCTGGTTGGTGTGCCCTAAGAGATTGGGCATGATGGTCTGGTTGTAGGCAATGTCCGTACACAGAGGGATGGAGATGGGCTGGCAGAATCCATGCTCGGGGACCGAAATCCCCTTCTCACCGTGGAGCTGGGCAGCGGCAAGTAGGCACAGGGCTGGCAGGAGGCACAGGACTTGGCAAAGGGTGGCTCTTGGGACACCCTGCATGACTGAAGCTGAGCAGACAGGCACAAGTCAATGGACACCAGCAGGATCAGATGTGGTGCAGATGTGAAAAGTCACATGGGGGGTTCCCAACTTTTTTTTTTGTCCACTTTTGGATGCCAGATGAAAGTTCTACAAAAGTTGGGACTTGTGTCTCCTTGATCCTGTGCAATGCGCTGTGTCACCTCCCTTCACTGGATCAGCTCTTCCAGGACCACGTCCTGAACTTTTCAGCAGTGCACAGCTCCCCCTCGATCTGAGATCGCTGCGATTCGCTGGCTCCGGAACGTCTGCTCCCTCCGGTTCTGATTCGGATCACTTTCTCTTTGTGCTCCGCTTCTCCGCTCACTTCTCAACTGTCCGTTTCAAGGCGCCCTCTGTCCCAGGATCGGATCCTTCCCCCCCCAAAGCCAGCACTCAGGGGCCGCCTTGAAACCGCCCAGTCTCTCTCTCTCTCTCTCTCTCTCTGTGCTTCCCCCCCCTTGTCAAGTCTCACAACCCTTCCCCAAAAATCCCCCTTAGCCAATCATGTGGCAGCTCTGGGTCTGGAGAGGGTGGAGGGAGGAGGGGGGGGGGGGCACACTCACCCCTCTGGATAATCAGCAGCATGTCTGTAGGATCAGGGTCTAGGACCCTACCCCCATCCCATAAAGTAATAGGAACTCAGGATCCTGCTGCAAGAAGTCATCTCCACCTAAAACAGACAAACTTCAGCCTACAGGGGATCTCAATGCCACCCTGCCCAAATCCTGAGGATGGCTGCCCATTAATTCTCCCTAATACCTATTAATACCCAGATCCTGGTGTCATCCTATTTCACACTCCACAGCCACCAATCCTGCACCCCTGCTAGGAAGGACTTCACACAGCTGTCAAAGTTTGGACAGACAGGCCCCTCTTTGCGCCATCATCCTTCTCTTTTTATTGCTGTTTTAAAGGAAAATACAGCCTTTTATTTATTACAAGTACTTATATAGCACCGTCACTTTACATATTTATTGTACATTCACATCAGTCCCTAACCCTCAAGGGGTGTACAATCTAAGGTTCCAAACTCACATTCATACATACACATACTAGGGCCATTTTAGACAGGAGCCAATTAACCTACCAGCATGTCTTTGGAGGGTGGGAGGAAACTGGAGTACCCGGAGGAAACCAACACAGACACAGGGAGAACATGCAGACTCCAGGCAGGTGGTGCCGTGGTTGGGATTTGAACCAAGAACCCTAGTGCTGCCAGGCGGAAGTGCTAACCATTTAGCCATTGTGCTGCCTTTTCAGAAAAGTTTTTTTTCCTGTGATCAAGTGATCGCAAAATATGTGCAAAACGTATGTGCAAACATGGCAATGTGAACACAAATGCAGCAGCACTCACTATACTCACAAACATTACATACAAGTAAGCGGGTTGTGCTGCCGAAAAGTAATAAATGATATAAAAATACATACTTTACTCGCCGGAAGATTTACCCCCCTTCATGATCAGGACAGTTTTTTGCTATACGGCACTGCGTTACTTTAACAACTGCGCGGTCATGCAACGCTGAAATTTATGTCATTTTTTTCCCCACAAATAGAACTTTCTTTTGGTGGCATTTGATCACCCCTGGGTTTTTAATTTTGTGGCTATAAACAAAAAAATACCTACAATTTCAGAAAAAAAAAATATTTTGCTTTCTGCTATAATTCATATACAATAAAAAAAAAAAAAATTTCTTCTTAAATTTAGGCCAATATGTATTCTGCTACATATTTTTGGCAAGAAAAAAACCCAAAAATCGTATATTGATTGGTTTATGCAAAAATTATACCGTCTACAAACTATGGTGTATATATACTGGAATTGTTTTTATAAACTAGTGCTGGCAGCAATCAGCAACTCATAGTGGGATTTTGATATTTGGATGACTTATATATAGATTTAGTGACTTCGATATTTCAGCGGAAAGTCTGACAATAAACGACACTTTATGTGAACCAGTGACACTAATGCAGGCCATACATGGTTGGAATTCTGAATGATTTTTCGTCTGAAAATTGGAAACGTCGTTCGCACGGTAATCCGATGGCGCCATCATTGATTTAAAAAATCGGCCAGCCAAGTCATAAAGTTCACCCCATATAACAGGCGAAACTTCTGTTCCTTCCAGGTCACGGCTCATGCACATATTCGTTAAGGAAAAACGATCGTATGATTTGACCATCATTGAGTCGAAAATCGGTCGTTTTTCACGAATTTTCCAACATGCCCGATCACCGAAAAGGGGAGGAACCACGAAAATCAGCCTGTGCCATTGACCCACTAACAGATCGAAAATCGGCCGATTATTCTTAGGTCCAAAAACGCAGTTGATTTTTGAACCGTGTATGGCCGGCCTAAGGCCCCTTTCAGACGAGGCAGACCCATCAGCGGATCCGCCTGCTCAGTGGGGGATCTCTCTGCTGATCCCTGACGATCAGGTAGATGACAGATTTGTATCCGCAGAGCAGATACAGACACAGCCCGCTGTTTTCTATGGGGCAGTTGGATGGAAACAGACCGCCTGTCCGTTTCCACATGACTGTTATCCGATCCACTGGACAGATAGGGAACAGATCCCCATCCGTATGTTTTTGCCATACAAGGTCGGATTGGATGCCGGTGGGTGTCACCCGCCGGTCCATAGCGGTCTATGGATGGTCTGATCGAGTCTGCCTGAAAAATTGACAGGCGGATCCCATCGGACCGTCAGCCTGGGTTCACACTGATGCCGTGTGGAATTTGCACCGGTTTCTGCACTGCATCACAGTCGCACCCCGTTCCTGCAAACCGCTGCGGGTGTGTATGTTAACACCCCAAAATCAGTTCGCAAAATGTGGTGCGAAATGCAGAATCCGATTGCATAGGTGTGAATACCCATGTGATCCGATTCTGGTGCGGAGCAAAAAAAAGGGTCCTGCGCTTTTTTGTGCGGATGTGGTGCGATTTGAGCCATACAAAATGTGTGGCTCAAATCGCACCGTACAGAATTTGCATGTGATGTGCACAGGTATGCGGTGCGGTTCCTGTGCGAAGCACATGCGATATGCCGCACTACATCAATGTGAACCCGGGATCAGGGGCCTAATACAGTGATCAGTACTAAAAATATACACTGTCTGGGAAGGGGTTAAACATCTAGGGCAGGGGTGTCAAACTGGCAGCCCTCCAGCTGTTGTGAAACTACAAATCCCATCATGCCTCTGCCTTTGGGAGTCATGCTTGTAACTGTCAATCTTGCAATGCCTCATGGGACTTGTAGTTTGGCAACAGCTGGAGGGCCGCCAGTTTGACACCCGTGATCTAGGGCAATCAATGGGTTAACTGTGTGCATAACCAGTGTTTTTGTGTGTACATTTAGGTGCTTTTACTAGGCAATGTGCTGGATTTATTCTCCGCTTTGCAGGGAAAGAAAATCCAGCAGATCGCCACTGACAGGACACAGCTCTGTCTTGTTTACATAAGAAGAGCTGTGTCCTGTCACTCTCCTCGCCGATCAACGGGTGCATGCACTCATCTATTGGCTGGCACCTGTTGATCAGCTTCTGCTGTCACTAATCACAGCAGAAGCAGCGCATGCGCGTGCGCCCCCTACACCTGGAAGTACAAAATCATGTGCACAGAATGGTCGCCTTGTAGCAGTACATCTGCTATAGCGTGGTCGAGAAGTGGTTAAATGTGCATATATGCAAATGGAACAGCCATTAACCCTAAATTATAAATAGTACATAAACAAATACAATGCCAAATTCATAAACAGTCCAACCATGTATTGGTGTGAATAAAAAGTCCGGAAATGAATAAAAAAAATTCCAAAGGTCAATCGCACCAAGATAACACATGCAAGAGGAGGGGAATCGCTCATGGTGCAGTATTAAAACCCAATTTCTTAAAAACTAGGCATCTACTCACATGGAAAAGAAAATAACAGCATATCACATATACAGCATCCAGCACCCCAGCTAGCATGATGATGTCACCACTGCAGCTCCTCCCTACGCGTTTCGTCCAAACGGATGTCATCACTGGGGCAATTCAGCCTTTTGCAAAAAAGTAACAAATGCACCCAAGCTGATAAACAAAAAAGTGCATTTATTAACTTTTTGCACTTGAGCCTGCAAAGCCCTGCGGCTGCCATCAGGGTCCTGCAGACTATTCCTCCAGCTGTAGGTCTGTACTGAGGGTCTCTACTGTCTGCGTCCGGGGCCAATAAATCGCAGGTGATCACTACATGAGAGCGACCATGATTAGTTGAGGGAGCCATTGCTTTCAGTGGGGCTGCCTTCTGCAGCTGGTCGCTGGGAACCCCTGCTAG